TACAACACCCAGGCGTTCAACTCATTACCGACCATCCCCCGTGGTGCCGAAACGGGCGCCTGGAGTCATTCACACGCACCGGTGAAACCCTTGAAGATGATCAAGACCCCAAGAGAGTGCTGGGAATGCTTAGGACTCTGGAACTATAAGCGGAGAGCGCTTTACGTTAAAAGGGAGAAAGTAGGTACCGTCCTACTGTTCACTATTGACAGCCATTCGACCCTCCACCTGCATAACCATGCACAGCCTATGTCTCCATGGGCAACCCTAACCCAACCCCCAGACCCGAGGCGGTGCAGTGGAGTCGAGAAAGCGGTGCAAGCATGATAAGTTGCCGACATGATGACTCAAGCCGCACCGCACAAGACAGCCGAGGACCCTGGACCCCAGGAGAGAGGGAGTGGGGGTGCGACACCCGGTCTCCCGCCCTTGTTTCTCCCCAACTGCACACCAGATCCGCACGTGGCAACGACGTCACCACACTTTGTCCCGTAAATTACAGCCAAAAAAGCACGTTCACCTAATGATTCTAACCCCCAGGAGCCCATTTGCTCCCCCCAGAGCCTCCGATATCCCCCAACCGCCAGGCCCCTTCAAGAACCTTTCATCCACCTCCCATCAACACTAGGGCGAGATAACTAAATAATCTAATGCAGCGCCGCAAATCCTCCGTCCACTCCCAGACCTTCCCCACCACGCCCCCCGTATCCCAAAGTGCTCATAACAATGGCATGTCGGCAAGCCCGCCAGAAATGTTTAGCGACGATGGCAATAGCAATGTGAGCAAAGCTTCCATGAATACTAATGATAAGGTAGGAGGCACAGGCGGGGACAGCGGCGAAGATGACGAGTCTACGGTACCGAAAAAGCAGCTTCTGGCGTTGGCTATCATCTCGCTTTCTGAGCAGACTGCGTTGAACAGCATATCGCCCTATCTACCGGAGATGACGGGGAGGTTTCCTGAGGTTGATCAGCAAAAGGTTGGGTTGTACGTTGGAATTGTTGCGAGCTCGTTTGCAGCGGCTCAGTTCGCGAGTGGGTGTCTTTTTGCTCGCTTCTGCGCTCGGGGAGAGGATATTTCCTGACACGTTGGTTCTTGGGCGATCAGCGAATTTCTTCTGGGGAAGGCTGAGTGATCGGATTGGGCGGAAACCCGTTATTCTCTTTGGAACGCTGGCTACTGCAGCCTGTTTCGTGGCTTTCGGGTTTTGCGAGACTCTTTGGCAGGCGATAGTGGTGCAGGCAATCACGGGGCTGGTCAACGGCAATGCTGGTGCGTTACCCTCCTACATCCGGGCACCTCGCGTATCATAGAATGTTCGCCCCTCTCTAACCCTCACCCTAGGAATTGTCTCAACTATTCTGGGAGAGATAACTGAGAAACCGAATCAAGTTTGGGCTTTCAAATATCTCCCGGTGGTGTACGGAATTGGTGGTATAGCTGGACCGTTGATTGGCGGGGTCCTCGCACATCCTGTCGCTGGCCAACCATCTGGTCCTATCACTGGATTGTTTGCGGAGAATCCATATCTCTTGCCCAATGCTGTTTCGGCCGGAATTCTATTGTTAGATTTGCTACTCACCATCTTCCTACTCGACGAGAGCTTAAAAGAAGCGAGGAAGCTCCCTCCTCTCGGAGAGCGTGTGAAGAACCTATTTTTTTGGCTCTGGGAATTTACCTCCGGTTCACGGCCAAGTTACCTCCGTGTTTCTCAGAACTGCTCAGATGAGTCTGAGGACGAGGAAGGAGATTCGTCCCCATACCCGACGGACCATTCAGGCTCGCCTTCCGCACCAGCTCTCTTTCCCGAGGTTGCCACTCCTGCGCCCTACGGCTCTATCTTAAAACCGCCAATTATCGTCTTCCTAATAACATATGCTATCTTCAACCTATCCAACGTCTCCTACAACTCCCTATACCCAATATTCATCTCAAGTCCACCGCCCACCGGACGTGGGCTTTCGCCGAAGGAGCTGGGACTCTCACTCTCCTTCGTCGGCATAGTTACCGTAATCTTTCAGCCGCTTTTGTTTGGCCGCCTCCAATCACGCTTTGGAAATCTCTGGGGATACCGCTCTGCCCTCGCCGGACTTGCGGTTGCGTTCTGGGCGATGCCCTTCGTGGGCTACACCGACCCTGCAAACGAGCGGGGCGCTAAGATGTGGCTATGGGTCGAGCTATATTCTGTCTTACTATTGAAGGCTGTAGCAGCTGTCGTCGGCCTCACATGTGCGATGCTGCTGATAACTAATGCATCCCCTCGACCTTCGACCCTCGGAACGCTGAACGGACTAGCACAGACCTTGGGTGCTGGCGGAAGAGCCATCGGACCGTTGATCAGCGGGGGGTTATTCACGCTTACCGCTGGAGTAGTGGACGGGGGGGAGTTGCTGGCATGGGGGGTATTTGGTGGGGTCTCCGTGATCGGATTGGGACTTTGTCTTTGGGGTGTTGACGGGGAAAGTTTTGTGGGTAGGGAGGGGGGGGAAGAGGAGGATCTTGAAGGTGGCGCGGAAATCCAATAGACTCAGAGGGCTTTCGGTGCACACCATCCCCATCTGTTCTGTCTCCCTTCTTGGATATGTTGTTGTTATCGAATTGTAAGATAGAACGGTTGGGATTTCGGAACACTGGGGCGTGAGTGAGGTTTTCATTTCTCACAATTGGCTGTCATCGCTGCTACAGGTTGTGTATGCGGTGTCGACACATCTTGCTCGTGAAGTAGGGTCCTCAAATGGTCTACCGTATAGCAGAAGAAACACCGTCCGTGTGTACTGTACGCGGGCCTAGTTGAAAGATTTATAACGGCAGCTCCAGCTATAAGAGCCTCCCGAATTAGCTGTGTAGGAACTACGAGTATAATATACCGGTAATCCCGATGTAAGAAATTTGACGCGTTTTTATTACGCGACCTTGCTCCAAATTTCTATACCCATCGGAACTTTATTGTGACGTCGCCGGTATAACAATCCTCCGACGCCATGTTGGTGACGATATCGGCGACAATGGGAGGGCAATGTGCTATAGTGTTGTGCTTTTTTCGACCGGTCTGCCGCGCATCAGTGTGACTTAAGGTCTGCTCTCCCCTTCTTCTCTCTGCCTTTGGGAGATGCCGGAGGGAAGGTAACTCCGAGAGATCTCAGAAGCTTAAGCTAAAGCCGACACATCACCACCTACCAGTAATCTGGATGGCCATTCCACCCTCCCTGCCATGCGAGAGTTTCCCCTAACCGAGGCGGTAGCTATATTATACCTCCAGGAGCTTGTCAATAATCGTGCTATTTTGGATTAACAATGCTTAGGGGCAGGACAGCGTGGCTTGCGCCCGCCTGCTTCCACCTTTCCCGTGAAAAATCCCGGAGAAACTGGATTCGGGGATATCCCCGATACGGATCACCTTTTTTTTCGAGCACGCTCTATATGCTCCGAGACAGTGTGAACACGTTTTGGCGGGAGGAGTTTATTCAGCTTCCCACTTCTACTGTACTCTACAGTACGTTTCAATCCATGCACATGCATGGATCTTCTTAAAAGGCTTATAATACAGGGTTGCTCTCCTCTGGCGTCGGGGCAAACATACCGGTACTTTGTACCGGCGCCGCACAATTCGGGAAGCCTTCGCGGCTAACGCACAGACGCACTGCTCCGTACAGAAAATCTCGGCAGTTGAGAGCACTCGGCAGACCAGCCCCCCTGCACGCGACCAAAAGCAATCGCCAGCTGTCAAACTAAACTTAAACCACCGGCACGCTGCAGTACAGTACACTGGGTATAACAAACAACCCGGTATAGTATTTCCACTCAGAGCGAGGGGGAGTGGGGCCTTCCCCAGCAACGGTTCTCCCGATGGACCCTAAACCCGTGTCTCGGGAAGTGCCGTCGACTTCGGAATGAAACCCTTGTGTTTCCCACTCACGGGCTAGACTCATCTGGGATCCTATCCTCACCTCCTGCCTACGAGGACGGTGACGATGACGATGAATAAACGAGGATAATTCTCCTTCAATTTTTCCCTGTCAAACATTTGTATTAAATTAGATGCCTTCATTGCTTTTGTTCTCTTGCAGAAAGCATTGAGGTGTTGATGATCGGGAGCCTTCCTTTGGCCTGCCGCGAATGCAAGGCGGGTGAGCTGACGGGCTAGACGGACGAACAGAAAACTCTGTTGTCGCTGGTGATGCCCTTTATCCAACTGGTATTCGCCAATTCCAGTGACTTGAGGTAACTTTGGCCCGCCCTGAATACTTTCTTCTCGCTTATTGGACACTTCAACTTTTTTCTATAGAAAATCCATAAAATGGTCCTGTTTTTGGTCTTCTGAAACGACTCGAGTGTGCCGTACGGTACATTTTATTTATCCTCAGCCTTTCCGAGTGAAATGAAACATTGATTGGAGCCACGCAGCGGTTGGATGCGTGCGCTTTGGCTCTCCCCTTCGAAAGCTTTTTAGAAGGTTAGACTGGCGGGACTGACTTGATTTTTTTCTATGGGAGGTCTAGGGCTGCCTATCACGGGTATTGGCCTCGGACGATACGAAGTGGACAACTGGGCGGCGGGTGCGTGACGGCAGACGGCGACGTGGAGCAGGAGATGATCCTTGGGGTTGTGGGTAACCACCTTTTGAATAATCAGGAAACAATCCTGTTCCTCCGCTTCCCCTTCTCTCTATTATCCTCCTCTCCGCCCTCTTCTCCTCTCCATTTCTACCTTCCTCCAACGCTCTGCCGTGCTTTTCTTTTCCAGTGGTATTCGGGTTTCCTCGAGTCCAAGGCTTCGTTTTCTACGTATTAGGATAGCTGCAAGTGCAACGGCCCGACATGTCAAACAGTGGAAAAAAGAAGTCGACGTTTACTGGCTCGCCGCAGAGCCAGAATCCGAGTCAGCCCAGCCAACAGCAACATCCCCACCAGCAGCAGCAACGGCCAAGCCTACGACCGTCCTCCGGGGATACCGGCTTCTTTCAGGACGCCCCTCGTCTAGGGAACCAGTTTCATGAAGACGTGGGACTCCAGAGGGTTCTTTCATGTTCGTTCTCCCACATTTCCTTCCGAACCCTTATGATATTAAGTCGAAGGGCTGCTGACTAATTACCGCCTTTGAAAACCTGCTAACTGACTGTGTGGGTTCTGTTTGCTGTGTTAGTTTACCTCCCACCCACTTTGCTGAAATCGTTGCATAACGAGCTCAACTCGCTTGCCGTGGCGGCTCTTTCCCGCCAAGTGTTGCATTGGGTCGAAGATGCCGAGGCACACCCACCCACCCTCGAGTCACATGATGCGTTCGCTAACCGCTGCGATAACTTGCGAACCTCGGAAGGGTGGAGGAGGCTCGCCGAGCTTGGCGCTCACCAGGGGATTGTGGCTGAAGGCTATGAGGGCCGGTATGGGAGGATTGGGCAATTTGCAAAGCACGTTGTTCCCCTGATGCTCTTGGGTTGAATTGGCTCGGCTAATTGTGTGGATTAGGTACTACATATTTTCACCGTCTTCCGCATTGACTACCTGCCCGTTTGCAATGACGGATGGGGCTGCCCGTCTGCTATCACAGCACATCCCTCACCCAGCAACTTCGATCCAATCATTCTTTAGTCTGAACTCTTCATTGAGTTCCCGCAGAGAAGCGGAGGTAAGGCGTCAAGTCTTCTACAACGCCCACCTCCGTCTTATCTCGCGGGACCAGTCTGCCCGTTGGACCAGTGGTCAATGGATGACCGAGCGACCCGGTGGCTCCGACGTTTCTAGGAGTGAAACGGTGGCTGTGTACTCTCCTCTCGCGTCGTCTTCGCAGACCGAAGATGGCACTGAAGAGTTGGGGCCCTGGGTCGTTGATGGTTACAAATTCTTTTCTTCAGGCACCGATGCGGATATGACCATTCTCCTCGCGAGAACCCCCGGCGGGGGCGGTAAGCTCAGCGCGTTCTATGCACCCATGAGATTGGCGAATGGCGAGAGGAACGGTGTGAAGATTATTCGATTGAAGAGGAAGCTGGAGACTAGGGCTCTACCAACAGCGGAATTAGAACTCAAGGGAATGAGGGCATGGATGATTGGTGAGGAAGGGGAGGGCATTAAGCAGATGGCAACGGTGCTGAATATCACTCGCGTTCATAATGCCGTTAGTGCCATCAGCTTTATGCGAAGGGGTCTGGCCATAGCGAAGGTTTGCCCATCCCCTCCTTCTGAATCCCTAAAAAAGGATAATTTATGTTCAGGGAAATAGGCATTCTCAAAAGTCCGTATAGTCGCAAAGAACCGGCCGCTCTGGACGATTCCCCTTCACCTCCGCACACTATCACATCTAGAGCTCTACCAGCGCGCAACAACCCATCTAACATTCCTTACAATCCATCTCCTCTCCCTCAGCGAAACCTCCACAGCCCCGTCCACGCCGCCCCCTAACGCCTCAACCCCGCTACATACCCCCTCGACCCCGAACCAACTCCTGCGTCTCCTAACCCCCATCGCTAAAGCCCTAACCGCAAAGATAGCTCTGAGCACCCTGTCCGAATGCGCTGAATCTCTCGGCGGCGTCGGTTACTGCGAGAATGAGGAGCCCTTAAACATAGCCCGTCTCCTTCGCGACGCTCAGGTGCTCTCGATCTGGGAGGGGACAACGAACGTGCTAATAACCGACCTAATTGGTAGCTTAAAACGTACATCACGTGCGGGGGGCGAAGAGCAAGGCTGGGTTCCGTTCAACGAGTTTGTGGAGGAAAACTTGGGTTCTCCGGCGACTGCCACTGCCGGCCGTGTTGGTGAGGTTGAAGCGGAGGTCCTTGAGAGGTGTAAAGTCGCTCTGTGGGAGGAATGGAAAGCGTTTGAAAAGATCTTGGAGACGAGGAGTAAAGAGGAATTGACCTCTGGTGGGAGGGTAGTCTTGTGGACTCTCGGCTGGGTGTTATGTGGTGTTTTGCTTATTGTGGACGCGAGGAGGGATGGGGAGAGGACTGCCGTGGAGTTTGCTAGACGCTGGGTCCTAGAAAAGGCTGGTATGTGGGGCGCCTGGGGGGAGTATGGGGTTATGGAAGCGGAGGTTGAGAAGCGGGCGCGGGCCGATTGTTGGGCGGTGTTTGGAGAGAAGTTGCCGGAGGTTAAGGACCGAGCCAAGCTCTGAATTTTTTTTCTTTGACTTTTGGTGGCTATTATGAAAGTAGGAGAAAAGGGAAGAAACGAAGGGGGGGGGGCACGATCAATCACGCCAAAATACTTTGGGGCATTTCTTTTGTTTAGCATACTCCCGTTGCGTTTACTAAAAAAAATTATGTTTTGTCTGTTCTTTCCTCTCTTTACAATATTATTATTTCCTTGTGTTATTTCTTTCGTTTTCACTTGCATTGGGCGGAGCATTACCATCCGGAGTCTTCATTTTCACCTGTCTGTCGGTCCTTTGACATGTCTCTTACGGTATTGCCCTTGTGTTTTTGGTACGATGCTACGGTTGGGATGGATCAATGCGGGGAGTGTGTGGGGATGGGAAAATTGTGGTTCACATGGCAATTAGAAGAATCTACAAGTGATCCGGAGAGTCTACCTGAAGCGCTACTTTTGACAGTAGGTACGGGACTTTTCTGTTTGTCTTTAAAAGAATGAAGTGGGTATCACCGATGACGATTGTGAAGGGTTTTTTTTTTCCAAGACCTTAATCAACAGCCCATGTCTCACTTAGAAAAGCCTCCCTTCAACACTCAATACTCTCGTATTATAGCCGCACTGGGCCCATCGCAACAGATCAGCGCTCTTCCTCCTGTCCTTCAATCTGGGCTACCCAGGACAGCTCACTGCAGGGTCTTACTCAAACGGAGAAACCTGTCAAGAGGACGACCAAGCAATAATCCCTTCCCGCGGCCTGATCCCGGCGGTGTCGATCCCGCCACCTAGACTCCGGACACCAGTTGGGATATCATGACGGGAAGACTTGATTTTAATGCACATTTCGCAAGAGTTTCTTCACCGAGAGCTAGGACTAGAGTCAGACACCCCTTTCTAGAATCATATGAGACGGATCCTTTTGCTGCGTAGCTCAACTGTGTGGCGGGCCAACCTCGGACGGGCAAGTAATGGTCTCCACGCAAGTTTTTCGGGCGTGAAGGAAGAATCAGGCTCAAGGCGGGCTGGTTCTTGTTTGGCATCACACTCGGAAGTTGTGGCACATGTACATGTACCCCCCTCACTCGTATACCAAGCTCCCGTAGCGCTTCTTGGCGAGGAGGGCACGAGCTCCTGGAGTCGGGGTGTTCCGGGATCGTCATATTTGTAAGTTACAGAACTTTTACTCTTTGGAAGTGGTTCTTTATCGCGCGTACATAACAGCACCCCGATGGGGGTTTTTGGAGGAATCGAGAGTCGAGAAACATGACCGGTGAATATACTTTTTTTTTATTTTTATCTTTCTTAGTGAGATTTTGGCTGTCTGGTGCTCTATCCTACCCACTCTGACGCCCGAGTGGGAAAAAGGACGGAGGGAAAAGGCAGGCAGTAGCTCCAATATTTCTGGAGAGGGTGGATTCTTCTTTTTCGTTTCGGGGTATAGCGTCGCTCTTGGCTTATTTTTATATCATTACCAATCGTTGGATTAAGCTCAGATAGCAAAGATCCCAGCACCGGATGCGCTGTGTGATCACGACAAGTCACTCGCGTTCCACATCGCGCATGTAATCGTAACGCGATGTGATTACTCCCACTAACGCATTGGTTATGTGCTACTGTGCTGCGGAAATCTACCCTTGCCAGAGTAACAAGTAGTATGAATACACTTGTCCCAAGATCCGGACACTCGACGGCGGGAGTGAATTCTAGGTATTATAATAGTATTTCAATTCTTTCAATCTCGTCTAATACAAAAAGCCCATCCTTGCCAACATTCTCAATAGCCCCGGAACAGATTTCCACACTGCTTATTAATGGAGGGTGCAATTCTATATATATATATGTCATCTCCTCATCTCGTTGAACGAATCTAAGTTGATAAAAAAAAAGCCTAGGGTACAAAAATGGGCAGCGGGGGGAAAAGTCTTCTTCCTTCCTGTAGATCGTGTGCCCTTCAATTGTGATATTTTCACTTATTCTATACTTGGGCGTAGTGATTTAAAGTTTCGCCCGTCCATCCCCTCCATTTCCCACATCGAGATATCGCGACGGTTACTTTTTTGAAGGGTGGTTGTATCATAGTTCCGGGTAGTCTCAGAGGACACCGGCTCGACTACCTACGCCCTCTTCGCGGAGTCGCGAAGGGTAACTGCTCCGAGGGCCGGAATCCCGGAAATCGAGCCCCCATCTCGTTTATCGTCCAACGGCGTGGCAGATCCAGTTTGTTGCTGAGGTAGGTGGTGCACGTCCCCCCCGCCAGCCGTTCCCAGAACATGATTGTTATCGTTAGCAGTATTATCAGGCCGCACACGGGACCCGTGACCAGCCAGAAGTAGCGCTTGGTTATGGGGTCTTTGGCGAAGTCTTTTATGTTGCTGTTGGCGAAATACTGGTAGGGTTTTTCTCGTCAGAGGAAGTGCTTCATATAGGGGGGGGGAGGTAGCGTACCGAAGCGAAAAAGTTGAGGGGGAGAAAGGCAGCGGTTACGATGGTGAAGCCGGATAATGCCTGAGCCTGTCGGCCAAGGGTGCCCTCCACCTTTCCGCCGTTTTCGGAACCTAAGAATCCGAAAAACTGTCTGGTCGTTAGCGTTCCTGCCATGAGTTGTGGTAGAGATAATATGACGGCTATACAATTGATCTCCTGTTATCGGTATTTTTTACCAACCCCTTTATTTTCTTGATGAACAGCATCCTCTCTCGGACCAACTCGGAAATTGTCTCCGAGGTGTTCGACTGCGTCTGTCCCGGGCTTTCCGAGAGGATGGGACGTGGGGAGATATTCTGGTAGGGGCGGCTCTTCGGGGACTGGTTTCCCTCTCGATCTTCGGTCCCCGCTGGGTAGATTGTTGAAAACACCCGGTGTAGGTCCTGGAGGAGCTCGATTTGTCGTTCGGCCACCATGATGACGGCGAACAAGGCTGCCGAATGCCTGTTCAGGGACGTGAGGAGGGCTCTCCTCTGGTCTCTGTGAAAGTAATTCGGCTGGTAATCCCCTCCCCGTCTCTGCTCTCCCGGAGTAGAGCTCGTACTCCTCCGTGACGTTTGTCCTGTCCGGGATTCCCTGAAAGTGTTATTCGGCTCTCGATCTCTCTCGTGGGTTCCTGTGCCCGCTATGATTTGGTCCATATCCTCCTCCTGAGTGTCCGCAGGGGTTAGTGCTACATTACATTGGGTATATGAAGGGATAGGCTGACTAGCTTGCGCAGGGAGGCTTGAAGCCTCTCCGCCGTCACTAATTCCGAGTCCATACGATTGGCGATCATACGAATGGTTGCACAAAAGGCACCGATACGCGTCTGCAGGGGGTGAAGTGGGGCTTGATTCTTGGCACTATCCTCCTTAGACCTGAATGTCGCCATCGTATCTTCAGAAGCCATTTAGCGGAGGTGTTCGAGTCAACAGTAAGGGGGGGAAAAGTATAACTTACGGTTATCAAATATCATATATCGTGCCTGATGCACCAATATCTCCCCAATATAATTTCCCTCCTCCCCAATTTTGGCATCCCCGTGATCGGGAACACTATACCCCTCGCGTTTGAACTCCAAGAGTCTAGCGCTCTCGCTTTCGGGCCCCGGTTGAACCCCGGCGCTATAGTTCCCCAAATACGGAAACGAGACGTAGAGGATGAACCTATCTTCCGACGAACCCGACCCGGACAACAGGCCCGATTGTCTTTTGAAAGGTGCCCGTAATAAAATACCTGTTCGAAAACATGCTTGACCGGGCAATGATAGAACCTTATCTTGATGTGAGGCCGCGAAATTAGTTGCGGTTCCGGCCGGTAGAATTCTATCCACCATCGATTGTAGCAGACCCCTATCCTATTTCTAGTAAGTAGTTGTTTTAAAATATAATTATAGGGCTGCACCGCGGGGAAACTTACACTTGTATCATAACATTGGGGAAAGTCACTTAAAAGAAAAAGAAAACCCCCCCCCTCAGATATTAGCCTCTAGAGGATAAATTCACGCCATAGAGCCCCCAAGGTGTATCAAGCACCGCACTGCTCTAGCCCGACTGGGCAACAAAAGAGTAAACCCTTGGGAGATAGACTTACATGATACCCAACCACCGAGATTCCTCAGTAGGGCTAATTATTTGTTCAAATTGTGGGGACCCTATGAGCTTATCATGGGACACTTGAACGAACTTATCATCCTCTGAAATGTAGTGCGCGGGGGAGGAATCGCCCCCATTCTCCGGACTAAGGAAAGCCGGGAATAGGGAATAGTTGAAAATCACGACATCTTTTTCTCTATCCTGGAGCTTTTTGCTCGAGAGGTTGCGGGATGGGTGCAGGCAATCTTGCTCATCGTAGAAGCCTTTGTGGTCGCCGATGGTTTCCCAATCAGCAGAAAGTGCCGGGGCAACCGGTTGAGGTTGTGGTGATTGGCTAATTGATATCGGTGAGAGTTCGAGGGCTGGATCTGGTGTAGCGGTGATGCTACTAGATGGGCTGGTCATCTTGACTGGGTGGTGGGGGGTTCGGGGGGGGGGAATATAGATTGCTTCTAAGCTTCTTACTGGCAAGATGTTAGCGGTTGGTTCGAGGGCTCCAGTCTTATATAGAAATTCAGCTCGGCGAGAGAGAGGCGGACACTTCGAGCTGCGCGTTAAAATATTTGACCATCCAACGGCGTCGCTTACAGCCGGTAGAAAAGGAATGAGGCGCAACCAAATTCAGCGGAGGGGCGTGGAAAACCAACTGGGAAAGCAAAATCCGCGCATTGACCTAATTAGTTGGCAGGTGCACTCAAACTGAGTCAGGCATCGCCAGAACTACGCACCGCGCTCCTCCTTGGATTTAACACTGCGCAACGTGTTCGGGAGCCAGAGTCAAAATGTGGACACTTGTTGACAACTTTTGTAGAGGAAGTAGATAGGTTCGCCTATTGGCTTCAAGCGGATGGGGAGAAATGTAAATATCCTTTGTTTTAGTGAGGTTAGTAGGATGTAAAGAGGGGCCCAGTACGCGTCGGGATTGTAACCGAGTGATATATTGTGATTGCTGTACAATACATAATAGTGTCATCCGGTGGCACCTGGCGCCTGGTGGTTAGAATCATGGTACAAGGCGAGCTACCGAGGGCACATTTTTCTGCACACAGTTAGGCTGTGAAAAGTACAGAAGGCGTCACCAATGTAGAAAAAAAAATGGCACATGTGCGCTAAATGCTAAGGTGAGTGATTGTGCGTACGGTGCCCCCCCCCCCCCGAGGGCTTAAGAAGTGGTTCCCTTTGCGGTAGCGTCATTTTCTTCGACCAGCATCCACTGGTGCCATCTTGTATATATGCGGGCCCTCGATCGAATCGGGTGTGGGCTACAGGAAGATACTGCTGCCCATTGTGGAAGGGCTTACAAGAGTCACCACCTGCCACAATATCATATCAGATCCTGGCATTGGGGATGAACCCTAACGGTGTCAGTATTACAATACTAGTTTAAGGTTTCTGGCTACCAATGAGAACTCCCACATTCTCACCTCACCCCCGCTGGAGATGTGCCCCACTATACTTGTACAATGGGGTGGCCGGGGCGGAAGTGGTCTTGTCGAGCGGCACTGGGTGCGTGTATTTCTGTAGTGAGACATGTCTTGTAGGGGGTTAGAAACAAACACGACTCGGCTGCGACATCCATAAATGATCATGCTGTCTTCGCACCAACTATGACTGCTGTTGGTTTCTGAGGCATAGGGAGGCTGACGAGGGAGTGTTTAGCCCTCTGCCCCGGTGTTCCTCCGTGATCATTAGGGTGGGTGTGAGAATACTGCGAATTCCAGTTTTGGTCAGAAGTTTCCACTTCTGGGAAGCTTTGGTTATTGACAAAAGTCGATCATCAACCCCCATCCTAACCACTGAGACGGGGTCCACCAGATTCTTGGTGTCTTTCCGGGCCGGAATATATAACACCAATAGATAGTTGTAGAGGGCGCAAGATGTCGACATGATTACGAACTCTACGAGGACCGAGTACCAGCCGCGCGTACCGCTGTCCTGACACGTACTCGGATAGTGGGATGCACCGAGTCACCGACTGTGGGATTAGGGTGCGTTGCGTTACATGGCGCAGGAGGGATGGGGAAAGGAGAGGATACGGTAGGGTACGATGCCGTCGCCGTCGCCGTCGCCGTCGCTAGAGTCATCTAAGGCGGGGCGAACACGCCCTGCCCCGGGCGCAGTGGCCCGTCTTGGCG